TTATGAAGACGTCCTTTTAGCTCTGATCGTAGTTGGGCCAGTTGTCGTCGAGTCAAGGGATAACGCTCTGCTTTTTCATATGGTTGATGTCACCGCTTAGCACATAGAGCTCATTTTTATGGTATGGCATGTATGTGATCCCATCGAAGCCCCAGTACACAAGAGCGTCCAAGTACCGAAACATAACACTATTACCACAACATTGATAATCATGATCTAGGTCAAACTTTACAGTGTCCTTATATACCATAGACATCTGTCGTGACAAACATGTACGGCACACACGATAAGAGAGAAGGATGGTGTCGTCCACCTACCTACCTGCCGCAAACTCAAGATGTCGTGTCCTGGTCGTGAGTCGGGGTCTGGGGTCCGCGTCGAACTTGTTTGCAAGAAACGATAAAACCAAGTGCAAGATGGCCCCCGATAGCGGTCCTCCGATTGGTATACCAGAAAGCTGCACCAGCGCAATGCCCGAGAACAGGACAAACCTGAAACCCAGGAAGCCCTCGATGGCCCTCTTGAGGCTCCTGAAGATGAACACCGTACGGTCCCAGTGCCAACGCCGACACGACCGCCGAGCACGACCTGCGACGACGATGTGTGCAGCACGGAGAAAGTGCGCGTATTCAGGTCGCGCTCAGCACGGGCAAAGAGAGCACCCACTGCTTGCCGAATCGCACCTGGCTCGAGCGCCTCACGCGCCTGACCAGCATCAGAGACTGCGAAGCCTGGAAACTGCATCTGCCGCCGACATCGCACACAGACGACCTGTTCAGGGTGATGAGGCCTCCAAGGAGGCGCAAGACAAGAGGTCGCTGTACGCAGGTCCTCAAACGCCGTATTCAGGTCCTTGAAGCCCCAGCCAGGAAAGATGATGTTAGTGAGGTAGGTAATGCCCCGGGATATCTTCTGATATAGTTTTCTTCCAGGGGTGCGGTAAAAAAAACATAGATTACGCATACATGAGTGGCCCTCCTTTTGGCATATGTTGGAACCCCCATCTTCATAGCATTTCCTTTTTTACAGTAGGGTAGCAGTACGGTAGATGCTTCATGTTGGTGACACGCTGGTGTGGGAGTCGTAGACTCTTTGGTATGCTAAAATCACATGTAAGCCTATACCACTGCAGTATATGTGATGATGGTAGCATGTTCAAGCGCCATCTCGTTTTTGCACCAGCAAGCAAGCCAAGCCAGCGTAACTGCATATGTTTCACACTTACAGCCCACATCGCACGAGGATCTTTATCCTCGACCGAGAAAGACATGATTGGTCGAACCTCCTGCAAAGCCTGGCATACACGATACAAGGCCTGAACCTGCGTCGTGAGAGGGCGTGGCTTCTCTGAGACCTGCGGGTTCACAACCGATGGGACCCGCAAGAAGAAAAGTCTAAAGCGACACGAAAAACCCAAGATGCACACAAGCGATAGCTACTCTCATCGAGAGTGCCTTGCACCTCAGGAAGCCAGGATAACTTGCCACACAGAGGAATCCGAAACATATCACGTCCCGCGGCCGCGATCTCAAGATCATCTGAACATAATGAACGCATGCCATGAATAGGGCGTCGATCAAGATCCTTGGAAAAAGAAGCACACTTCTTCTGAATGGTGGTCGCAGCGGCCACGGTGACACGAAGTTGCTTCCGTACAAGTAAGGTCCATGCAGGTCTAAAGTGAGAGGCGCGATGTAATACAGCGCCAAGCCATCGTCGCACGGTGGGCACATCCTCGGGCCGATTCAGGGCAATCGTAAATCCGCATGGCTTCGGTAACCCAACCAATTCGAGATGCGACGAAATCGACCCTTGTGCAATTGCCTTCTCGCGCCAGAACGGGAATACTGCACATAATTCCCAGAGAGTGTAGAGGTAATCATTGTTATGATTTGTCTGAGCCACTGCATATTGCCAAACAACTTCATGAGATCCCCAGGCAGAAAATCTGATAATTAAAATAGCATGTGCAGGATCATATAGATATACTGGTCCCCGTTTATGGAATCGTGCTACATGTCGTCGTAGAAAGAAATCATATACTCGTAAATAATGCCCCCGTAATAGATTGCCCCATTCTCGGGTTCGATCCCGCCTTCGAGACTGCCGTAGGTGGAACTCCCGTAAGGCCTGGAACCTGGCAGCTTGCCAAACCTCATGCGCCTCCATCGCCTCTGGGGGTCTGGGTAGATGCCGTCTCCGAAGTGCACGGGGCTTGCGGGCTCTCTTGGAGGTCTTACCTGTTTTTCCAGGGGAACTGGATCCAGGACCAAGGCCAACCGATGCCGCTTGAACTCTAAGAACATTGCTGGCTTCTGGAGCCGAGAAAGTGATATATGACGCCTCTGTTGCCGGTATGGTAGAAGTAGGTACTTGCACCAGGAAAACAACCGAGACGCGATGCGTACGATGTGCTCCCAGGAGTGTGAGGTAGCGCGCTCTGTCTGCTAAAGGCTTGCCTTGACTACATTTCCGTAAGCTTTTCAAGTGCTCTTTCGTGCGCGATATTGCTCCAGCTTGCTTGCCCGTGCTGCGATGTACCTGTCCTTGCCCCACATATCGTGCGTAGTGCCCCATTTGATAAACGAACGACTGCTTGCGCATGTGCGGGGAGGATAGGCCCAGGATACAATCAACTTGAAGCCCGAGAAAGTCACGCACGCAAAGCACGTCAAGGAACGAAGCCAAACCCGAACGAGAGAGAGCGTGCTGAAGGGGAACAGGGAGAACAAGTACACATTTATGAGCAAACCGACGATGCCGTCGACCTTGCGTCGACATCTGCCGTACACGGAGAATATACTGTGCCGTCAGCATGGCCATATACATACTATTGCAGTGAACCGAAGCAACAGCATTATCACCAGCGAACCATTCGGCAAGATCCGCAAGCACGGTCTCAAGCAACTGTAAGAAATCTGCCTACGGTTGGCGGTGTGAGATCTGCCATGAGGTCCCGAGCATGAACCGTTCGAGCACTTTCAACGTACGTGTCTGCGCCAACCGTCGATCTCCGAACCGTAGGGGCACATGTATAGGGTCACTCCAAGAAACAAGCTTCATCATATATTGCTCACAACTCATTTCAACGGCTCCTTTGGGGAAATTCCGAAGGGAAACACTATCTTTCATCATTGTTCGCAAGTGTGCGTCCGCTGTCGTGCTGATGTGACGAATGGGTGTGCCCTGACATGGGATTACGTCCAGCAGCATCATCCACAGCCAACGTCAAACTACGAGATAAAAAAGGTATGGAAAATGAAAGTCGCGAGTGCGGTACAGTACGACAAGATGCCTTACCTCCATTCCATCGTGCACACATCGTGAAGAGTAATGGTTCAGTCGATCTGGAACCTCTGAAAGACCAAAGATAAAACTGTTCAACACCAGTTATCCATGGCGTCGGAAGTGCCGAAAGGCTCTGTACGGTTGTATTTTTTTTTACTGAGGAGTGGTCAGGGTTTCGGTCATGAGCACCACCTGCGAGCTCGAAACTCCCGTGGCTCTTCAGCCATCCTCTGAGAGATGCGGCTGCAGGCGAGAGTCACACATACAAACAGCGTGCACATGCAAGCAAAGAGAGGCGGCAGGCGGCGATCGATGTGCATGGTGTTGACGTGCGCTGAGCCCGATGCCTGCCCCACGCGCAGGCGCAATCAATAATATCAAGATATTAAAGAGTGAAAGCACACACACACACACACTTTGCGCGTCAGCGGGCAGGCGCAGCGCCAGGCGGTCCCAGCAAAGCAGGAAGCGGCCAGGCCCCCATGGGGCAGCGGCAAGGTGGCAAGAAACACGCACGAAGGACCAAAGGCCAAAGCCGGCCAGAAGAAGGACGACCATGGACCAGCAAGACGAGCCCCTCACACAGGCACAGGAATGGAGAGGAATGCTCCGCGAGGGCCCCAAAGAGACAGAGGCCGTCATGTTTGGCTCCTGGCTGCTTCGCGCCCCTCTGCTGACAGGGCAGCCCCAGGAGGCAACCGCACAGGCATTCGTGGCGCCCCTGCGGGAGGCGCGTCAGCGCATCTGGGGAGATGCGAGCGGGAAAAGCACAGGTGCCAGGGACGGCGGCGCTGCCTGTCTGTGTCATTGTAATGTTGCGCTCCTCTCCAGCAGCCACGATGGCACACCACAAGAAACCTTCCACAAGAAACCCAACCCTGAGACCCCAGGACGTCAATTGATCTTCGGCGTGGGGGCATCACGCTTTCCACGGCAGAAGCATCGAAACCCAAGAAGCCCAGGGCACCCTGAAGCAAGCAGGGTGTTTCTTGGCTTGGGCCTCCACTGTAGGCAACGACGTGTTGGTGATATCACGAACCAGGCAAGCCTGGTCTTAGGTTGGGCATGTCCTCCTACAGGCGGAAATTTGGAGGAGAAATAAAAGATAGTCAAAAAATGCTCGAAAATAGTCGAAAAGAGTCGAAACATCGTGCTCCGACTATTTCTTAAATTATTTTCTAAAATTCCTCCTGCAGAGGGACACGCCCGACTTAAGCCTGGTCACGCGAAAACCACACTGCAATAGGCAGGGGCAGGGCGCGACACCTGGGCCTGCGCCGGAGAACGCCGCAGCAGCGTGCTTGCACAACACAGCCGCACGGTGGACAGCGAGATTCTGCACGGCAGCAGAAGCAAGATCCTGCACGGCCCGGAAGCCGTTACAGGATGGGCCAAGTGGGGACGTGCGAAACGTCAGGATCGGTCCTCTGCGACTGCCCAGACCAAACGGTACACAGCGAGATCCCGCACAGCAGCAGGAGCAAGACCCTGCACATCCCTGATCAAGGGCATTCGCCCGGAAATCTTTATTGGATGGGCTGAGGGGGAGCGTGCGAAACGTCAGGATCGGTCCTCTGCGACTGCCCAGACCAAACGAAAGCACCGCGTGAGGAGTACGGGCTATTGCGAGGCCATTTCCCGCCCACCCCCACATCCGCCCCTCTCCCAATTCCCTCCACGAGTGCCGCTTTATGATATGTCTTTTTTCACTGCCTGCATCTCGTCTCCTTCCCTCTTTTCTGTAGTCTTGGGAAGCGGGATTGAAGAACAGCAGGTGGGTGCTGGAGGGACAAACACCAGGGTAAAGTGTGAATGGCGAAACTACCAATAGAACGGTCGCAGGGCGCTCCCAGTACGATTGCGCTGAGAGGAGGCCAATGAACTTTTCAAAGCGCGACGCCCAAAAAAGCTGCTCTCCACTCCTACGAGGCTGTGGATGAGGATGACGGCAGGCTCGCGCGACGACCTGGATGTGAGCGACCAGGCATCGCATTGATATAACAATTGGCTTCTCCACCCCATCTTGCACCCTGTGCTCACGCTTCTCTCTGACCCCGGCTCCGCGCTGTGCCTTCAGCCGCCCCTCCCATCAACCCCCTAAACTTGCTCGGGTTTCCCCTCCGATTCCCTGTATTTCTTTTATCTTTACCCATCGGTCGGAAGAAGTAGGTAGAAACATGGAGTACGAAGGCGGATAAAGCAGATTGGGCTCGGGCCCGCCAAGATGAGCAACTTGTAAACGCAGCAAAAACACATGGGTCCTTGAAGCAGGAAGGCGCTTGAAGCAGATTAGGTTCTGGGAGTTCAGAAATACCTACTTTCAACGACCGATGGGTACATCTCTCCCTCTCCCTCTCTCTCTCCCTCTCTGTCCCTCGCTTTCTCGCTCCCTCCTTCCTCCCCTACCTAAAGGGAAACTCGGGGGGGCGGGGCACGAGAACGTGCGCGTCGCTCGGGGACGCTGGCACGGAGCGTCCGCGGACGGGTTCGGCGGATCTGGCCATGCCTGAACCTAGAAATATCTGGTCTCCTCCTCCTCCTCCTCCTCCTCCTCCTCCTCCTCCTCCTCCTCCTCCTCCTCTCCCTCTCGTCGCCCTCCTCATCCTCCTCCTCCTCCTGCTCCTCCTCCTCCTCCTCCTCCCTACCCCCCCCCTCCACCTCCCCCTCCCCCTCCCCCTCCCTCCCCCTCGCTCCGAATCCGTCACGCCCCGTAGTGATATGGCGGCAGTCCACCAGGACCTGTACAACGCACAGCGGCAAGCTCTCAGCCCATCGTGCTAATATCTTGTTGACCATTTTGGTATCGAGGACTCCATCTGGCGTCGGAGCGTGGAAGAGCACAGAAACGGACAGACCAGCTTCACGACGCAGCAAGCGAGATCGCGTACAACACACGGCCGACATGACACTCCCGAAAGCAACTGAGGCAACAGAACCCCATGGGCAGAGAGGCAAGCACAACCAAAGCAGCGGACAAGCGCATCGGACGGACGCATGGCGATTAAGCTGGCAAGGCTGCTCAGATGGAGCAGACGGAGAGGAATCAAGGGAGTGACTGCGAAGAGAGAGAGAGAGGCCTTGGCCGCTGTCTGATGCGTCGAGCAAGAGGGCATGGTGAATGCGCTATGACAGGAAGGGCAGACCCTAGACGAAGTAAGAAACATGACTCAATAATGAGAACGACGCTTCCACCATTTCTGAGAAGATGCGCCGCAATATAACGTCCGAGTCGCTCCCAGCGATTGCGGCCTGAATCGCCTGAGGTGCAGAAGCTTAGACCAATCAGGATGCGCAGAAATACAATTGGCAGACTTGATATCGGGGGCGGAGCCTCCAGCAACAGCAATCCGCCCAAATGGAAGAGAACAATAATTCGCACAAGCATCACACATGCACATGTTTGGACACAACTTATTGACGTTACGCCTGCGTGCAGTACAACTTTCAAAGCATGTACATCCGCGAACATGCTAACACCACCCCGCCTGCTTGTGTGCGCGCCAAGTGGCGTGCACGCGGGCACGGTGTTCAATACCACGGAACCCTGCGCAGGCTCATGTCGATGCCCGAGTCGCACGTCAGAGGGCCCAGGTGATTGCGGCAGCCAGTCGGGGGCAGAGCGCAGGCGGACACACACGCGCATACAGTCATCGAACAAATTGGCACGCACAAGGGCACGAACACACGCCAAAATAATGCCAGCCCCCCACTTGCTTTCATAGCGTCTCCCGTCTCCTGTGCGTTGTCTTCCCCGTCTCATGGTTTTCTGCTGCTGACTACAAGGGGGAGCACGGACTCAACAACAAAAACTGGGGTGGTGCGTTCAGCGCCACGACCGCTCCGGGTTGCCCACGGATTCGTGTAGGTCGTCTCATCACAAAACACCAAGAAGACTCAACAGGCCTCCAGGACAGCCCCAAGAGCTATCGAGGAGGGGCCCAAGAAAATTGAATGACCTAAGATGGCCCAGCGATGCCACCGAGACAGCCCGAAAGGGTCCCAAGAAGCCACCAACCAAGAGGTCCTCAAAACGCCCTCAAGATAGAAAGATCATGAACAACATGTGATGTAAGTGACTATTTGCCTGCCGCATGCTTTGTCCCCAGGATGTGCCAAGAGGGCTCACAGACGGCCCCAGACCAGCGTTCTGAGATCGGTATCTCTCAAATCTTGGGACGCACGCAAGGTGACACGAGCAGACAAAATGGAGGCATGCCCAACCGATCTGCAACATGTAAAATCCCATCCAAGACGGATGAACCGTAAAGGGCGCGTTGTCCGTTCTGCGAGCTGACGAGGAGAATATCCACTGCGCGTCCTAAGAGAAACTAAACTTGGCGGCGCAAGAACGAATCAATTGCAGGCGTCATACCTCAACCCAGTGGAACTCCCAAGATCTCACGAAAGTGGCACAAGTTACGCACTTGGCAACAGCTAGGGAGATGAGCTTACGCCTGGTTTGCGAAAGAACGCTTCCCGACTCGAGGCATCGGCGACAACTGCGCGGGCGGCAGCATCAACGGAGACGAGTTCCAGCATTCGGATGGACGCCCTACGCATTCACGAGAGTAGCGACAATGCGCCCTTGGACTCACATGGGGAGGCGAGGCCCCACTTGCATCTGGATAAGACCGCACCCCGCTGAACACCCCAAAGCTCACCAAAATTGCGACACTTGCACACTTCGCACCACCCAATGGAGCGAAATCCGTATGACCGTACTCCGCTGGACCCCCTAGAAGCTCCCCAAGTGGCGACCACTGCCCCGATGGGCCAGGGAAGCCGCGAAAGATGCGAAAAAAGGAGGATGCAGCGATGAGGGAAGAGGTGGAAGGAGAGGAGAGAATGGGGAGAATCGAAGAATTTGTATATGAAAAAAAGGAAAGCACAAAAACAACAACAACAACAACAACAACAACAACAACAACAACAACAACAACAACCACAACCACAACCACAACCACAACAACAACAACAACAACAACAACAACAACAACAACAACAACAACGACAGCAACAGCAGCAACAACAACAACAACAACGGCAACAATAATCACAACAACAACACCAACAACACAAACAATAACAGCAACAAAGCAACATAAACAGCAACAACAAAAACAACAACAACAACAACAACAACAACAACAACAACAACAACAACAACAACAACAACAACAACAACAACAACAACAACAGCCACAAACACAACAACAACAACAACAACAACAACAACAACAACAACCATTTTAAGGCTGTACGCTCTTACTTGCCCGCGAGTCATTCCACACGTATACCCTACACCCTCGATACCCGCCCTCTTCGTCTTCGATCACACCCCTTTCGGGGGGATGATTTCTCTTTGCTGGGGCCGGCGGGCTTAGACGTACGGGCAAACCGGAACGGGCGGACAATCCTTCGGGGGCGTACATCTCTCTGCCCGCCATTGGAATTGGCGCGGGCCCTGCAAGAGGAGGAGGGGAAGAACGAGGGAGAGTGGGAGGAAGGGGAGGGGGAAGGACGAAGGAAGAGGGAAGATACCACGTTGTGAAGGCGTCCTTGGCGCGTGCGTGGTTCCTGAGCGCCGAAACGCAATTCCAGAATAATTTGTGAGGACGTCGCACGCGAGAGCGCAGTCCTGAGTACATTGTGAGGAAATCTCAGGCGGAAGCGGGGGCCCTGACTAAGTTGCGAGGAAGTCTCAAGCGGGAGCGCCGTTCCTGAGCAAATTGCACGGAAGTCTCAGGCGGGAGCGGGGGTCCTCACTAAATTGCGAGGAAGTCTCAGGCGGGAGCGCCGTTCCTGAGTCAATTGCGCGGAAATGTCAGGCAGGAGCGGGGGTCCTGAGTAAAATTCGAAGAAGTCTCAGGCGGGAGCGCCGTTCCCACGTAAATTGCACGGAAGTCTCAGGCGGGAGCGGGGGTCTTGATTACATTGCGAGGAAGTCTCAGACGGGAGCGCCTTTCCTGAGTAAATTGCGCGGAAGTCTCAGGCGGGAGCGGGGGTCCTGAGTAAAAATCGAGGAAGTCTCAGGCGGGAGCCGTTGTTGTTGTAGCCCGGGGGGCAGGGGCACAGTTTGAGCAGGAAGACTTTCCTTGAGAAAAAACCAGGTGCGAGCCCCGGGGGTGGCACTTCAATCGAAAAAAATCAATGTGCACCGGTGGGGGGGGATCAACAATAATTATTCTTCAAGAATGAGAGTTCAACAACAACAACAACAACAACAACAACAACAACAACAACAACAACAACAACATCAACAACAACAAGGTCGACACGTGCACTGCCCAACCGTCCACGGCCCAACAGTCCACGCTTTCACCCACTGAGCGAACACGTGGACTGACGACCCGTGGGCCCACTACCCCCCCCCCACCCACACCAACACCAACACCAACACCATAGGGAATCCTACACGATCCCTATGGAATCCCATCGGACCCTATGGCCACCGTGGCTCTGAGACCACCCTTACGCCCGTCCACGTATTCCTGCGACTGGAAACGATGTGCGCACAGGCGAAGCGACCTTCGGGCATCCTTCGGAATCCATGCAGAATCCTAGGAATCCCTAGGAAGCCCTAGGGAATCCCGGAGGGATCCCTAGGGATTCCTGGGATCATATGCAGAGCCTACACGCCATGTATGGAATCCTATACAAAGCCTACACGGCATGTGCGGGATCCTACACAGAGCCTACACGGCCTGTGTGGGATCCTACACAAAGCCTGCACGCCCTGTATGGGATCCTATACAGAGCCTACACGGCCTGCACGGGGTCCCATGGAGAGCCGAAACGGTTTGTATGGGATCCTACACAGAGCCTACACGTCCTGCACGGGACCCCATACAGAGCCTACACGCCCTATGTGGGATCCTAGACAGAGCCTACACGTCCTGTATGGGCCCCTGAACAGTGCCTACACGGCCTGTGTGGGATCCTAGACAGAGCCTACACCGCCTGTGTGGGATCCTATGCAAAGCCTACACGCCCTGTATGGGATCCAATACAGAGCATACACGGCCTGCTTGGGAGCCTATACAGGGCCTAGAAGGCCTGTACGGGATTCCAAACACAGCCTGCACGGCCTGTACGGGGTCCTATACAGAGCCTGCACGGCCTGTACGGGATCCGATAGGAAGCCTAGACGGCCTGTCTGGGATCCTATACAGAGCCTACACGGCCTGCACGGGATCACATACAACGCCTACACGGCCTGTGCGGGATCATCATATACGCCCTGTACGGGGTCCTATACAGGGCCTACACGCCCTGTATAGGATCCTACACAGAGCCTGCACGGCCAGTATGGGATCCTACGCAGAGCCTACACGCACTGTATGGGATCCTATACAGAGCCTACACGCCTTGTACGGGATCCTGTAAAGCATACGCGCCCTGTCTGGGATCCTATACAGAGCCCGCACGGCCTGCGCTGGATCCTATACAGAGCCTACACGCCCCGCTCGGGATCCTATACAGAGCATACACGGCCTGCTTGGGATCCCATACAGAGCCTACACGGCCTGTACGGGGTCCTATACAGAGCCTACACGCCCTGTGTGGGATCCTATACAGAGGCTAGGCGTCCTGTATGGGGTCCTATCCAGAGCCTACACGGCCTGTGTGGGACCCTATACAAAGCCTACACGGAGTGTATGGGATCCTATACAGAGCCTACACGGCGTGTGTGCGAACCTAGACATAGCCTACACGGACTGTATGGAATCCTACACAGAGTATACACGCACTGTATGGGACTATATACAGAGCCTACACGGCGTGTGTGGGAACCTAGACATAGCCTACACGCCGTGTACGGGATACTATGCAGAGCCTACACGCCTTTTATGGGAACCGATACAAAGCATGCACCCCCTGCTTGGGAGCCTATACAGGGCCTACACGGCCTGCACGGGATCCTACACAGAGCCTACACGCCTTGTATGAAATCCTAGACAAAGCCTACACGACCTGTGTTAATAGCAATAGTAGTAATAGTAATAGGAATGGAAGTAGTATTAGCATTCGTCGTAGTAGTAGTAGTAATAATAGTAGTAAAAGTAGTTGTAGTAGAAGTAGCAGTTGGGAGTAGGAGTGATAAGAGTATTAGTAGTAGTAGTAGTAGTAGTAGTAGCAGTAGTAGTAGTAGGGGCAGCAGTAGTAGCAGCAGTAGCAGCAGTAGTAGCAGTAGTAGTAGTAGTAATAATAGTAGCAGTAGTAGTAGTGGTAGTAGTAGTGGTAGTAGTACTAGCAGTACTAATAAGACTAGCAGTAGTAGTAGTAGTAGTAGTAGTAGTAGCAGCAGTAGTAGTAGTAGTAGTAGCCATAATAATAAGATTCATAGAAGTAGTGGTAGTAGTAGCGGTAGTAGTAGTAGTAGAAATAGTAGGAGTAGTAGTAGTAGTAGTAGTAGCGGTAGTAGTAGTAGTAGTAGTAGTAGTAGTAGTAGAAGTAGTAGTAGTAGTAGTAGTAGTAGTAGCAGTAGCAGTAGCAGTAGCAGTAGCAGTAGTAGTAGTAGTAGTAGCAATAGTAATAGTAATAGTAATAGTAGTAACAGTAATAGTAGTAGTAGTAGTAGTAGTAGTAGTAGTAGTAGTAGTAGTAGTAGTAGTAGTAGTAGTAGTAGTAGAAGTAGTAGTAGCAGTAGTGGTAGTAGTAGTAGTGGTGGTGGTGGTTGTAGTAGCAGTCGCAGTAGCAGTAGCAGTAGCAGTAGCCTCATCCGCGTAATCTTCATCCGCCTCCCCCTCCTGCTCATACTCATCCTCCTTATGCTGCCCCCCGTCCTCCTCCTCTTCATTATGCTGATCCCCATTCTCATTGGGATCCTCCTGTTCCTCCTCCTCATCCTGCTGCTGCTGCTGCTCCCCATCCTCCTCGTGCTCCTGCTCCTCGTCCCTGTGCTCCTGCTCCTCCTCCGCTCATGCTCCTCCTCCTGGCCCTCTTCATCCTGATCATCTCCTCCGCCTGATCCTCGTCATTTTCCTTCTCCTCACCCTCCTCCTCCTCCGCCCACCTGTTCCTCCTCCTCCTCGTTATCCTCTTCCTCCTCCTCCTCCTCCTCCTCCTCCTCCTCCTCCTCCTCCTCATGCTCCTCCTCATGCTGCTCTCAACCCTCCTCGTGATCATGTTCCTCCTGCTCATCTTCATCCTCATGTTCGTCTTGCTCCTCTTCCTCCTCCTGCTCATCCTGCTCCTATTCCTCCTCCTCCTCCTGCTCATCCTGCACCCCCGAGGCGCAGAGCGGGCCGCCGCCCTCTCACTCCTGT